CAACCATCTCAAACGCTTTGTTTGCAGCAGTCGATCAGTTTGATTTAATATTCTATTTAATATTTTTTGTGCAACTGCATTTGATTTCAGATTATGTCACTTTACTCCTAATATAAATCTTAAATTCTGTTTTCAGCTTTTGTTAAGTACTGCCGTCCTGAACCCGTAGCGAATGATTAATGAATGTAGGTCCTGTATTTTCGCAGCTTCCTGTGCTGTTGTCCTTCCACAGTTTGAATGACTTGCTTCTCGCTGCAACCGTTAATTCGCAGCATCCCCTAACTTCGTATGCCACTCATCAGTCCACAGTTGATGTACTTTCAAGATATTGATGTTCTGTAGATTTGTCCAAACTTCAGCATCAAGAATAAAACGGCCTTTGATCTGGGTTCTACAAGTTTTTATGCACTTCGTTTTATGTAAGGTAATCTAGAGACTTAGATCAGAACAGTTTTGTTTCACAGTTAGGAGCAGTAACATCGATATATTGAAGTTGTCTGAATATAACACCATATCAGCCGCAAATGCAAGAGTTTCAGAGAAAACTTTGGACCTAAATTTACTCAATTTCAGTAAACTTGAACAACCCGCTAAAGTACATCATAAATGATTTAGCACCACTAGTCAGTCAGCCAGTTCGTTTCGATGACCTCTTATCGTTTCATCTCGTCGGAGCAGACGCGTCAGTGTTCGCAACCTTCCCGATCCCGCATCAGACTATGAGCTTGAGGAAGACATCACCAGAGTCTGGAGCAAAGTCCCTCGAGACAGTTGCTCAAAGTATTCTTCGCCGTCCTTGGATTCGCCGACAGCCAGTCTGTCTCTGTACTACGGACTGTTTCGAGACTCGTTAACTCAGCGATTGATTTTAAAAGTGCCGTTTCAGCTGCATATGCCCAGGATCAACGTTTCTCATTTATGACCCTCGACTCATGACCATTGGTGAGCATCGGAATGAACATCGACTTGAACACAGAGAGCATAACTCATGGATTCCGTTTTGCTTTCCTCACAATGGTTCGGATTGATTCACACAGAACACTATTGGCCAGTTTGATTCGCCCGTCGCTCTTTTCCTGCCATTTTCCATCATCACTAAAGATGATCCAAAGGCATGTGAACTTTTTTACCTGTTCCACTGTCTCTCTGTTTATTGAAAGAACGCAAAGGGCTAGAGAATGAAGGAGCCCTGAACTTTTCATTTTAGACACGCTCTTAGGCATACCGACCACGCCACACAACAGCAATGAAATGAAATTTTAGGCTGCGCGCACGGTTTCAATTTGTCACCTCAACAATGCGAGGCAAACTACTAATCATCTGCGCCACTGCCACCTCCCCCACCCTGCCCGCCGTTTCCACTGCACTGGTTGTGTTAAATTAGCCATTTTTTTATTCTTCGAATCTTTGCCA